TCCATTTCATTTCATTTTTATTGAGACTGGATGGGTTACTGTAAACCCTCCAATGACCTAAAATATCAACATATTTTCACTTTTTAATTAAGAAAAATTTGTTAACTAATTTGTTAACTAATTTTTTATATAATTTTTTTTTTTTTAAATCATCTTTTATTACATTTTATTGATAAAAATTGGACTTTTGATTATAAAAATGGACAATCGAAAGAAAATTTGTTTGATATCCAACATATAAGATATATGAGACCGGAAGTACACCTAACTAGAAGCGCTATGTGGAACGCAAGATTTCCATACCGGAAGTAAGCCTTGTAACACAGGAACCGATACTCATAATTCCAGAACTGAGGCATGCTGGTCAGATGCCAGAGATTGGCTCCAAATTAGATTTCCCGTCAAATGCATATAATTGTGAGATTATGTCTTATAGCATTACTATACACTTGAGAAAGGCGTTTGTCATCGAAACGCATTGTGTTTTAATTACCTTGTCAAATAAAGTGTCCTGTCTTTCCATCCACTGCATCCTGGAGATTCCTTACTTGGGTCTGCGTGGTAGCTGTACGAGCTGGATACATTTTACCTATATGTCTACACAGCCAGAGCCTGCTATAAGTGGCTCTGGTAAATGTGAGTAGCTCTGAGTGGATTTTGCTTCTAATATACACCTTATAACTATATTTCACTATGCAAGTATCCTATTTTTTGTTTCCTATATAGAGTTGTAATTTCTGCATCTCACTGGAAGCTCAGATTTAGGTATTTCATTATTTATTATGTTTTAGCGCTTCCCACTTTGTTTTCTGTATTTTCTGTATTCTATTGTTATGCCACATTATGTGATCAGTGGCATTGGGAATTTGTGCAAATTTCTATTAGTGCCAATTCACACCTTACTCTTCTGTTTTGTATATATTGTAGAAATTTTCAATTTGCTTGTGATGATTTGTGTCTCAAAAAACTGCAATCCTAACATACAATATCTCTGCTGGAATCCTCTGGATCTTGAAGGACACAGTCAGTGAATATAGCCCATTTCCCCAGTTAGTGGACAACACACAGTTCTGGGATTTAACTGCTTTCTATTAGCCCACACATGGCTTTTTATGCACAGCCCCATAGGATGGGGTCTCTGAAGCAAGCTTACAGGGGTTTTTCCCAAGAGTCTCTGGGTTTGAGAGATAATTGAGCTGGGAAATATGATAACTCTATTATCTCTCAGTTACAGGGACTAACAGAAAATATTACAAAACACCCAAAAAACATATAAAAACATTACAGGATCCCCACAATTTTATATCCCCGAATAGCCTGTGTCTGAGCGCCCAACATATCCGAAAAGCGCTAAGATCGGTTTGGTGGAACGAGATCGTTATTCTGGAGAAGTTTTGACCGGCTGGCCACGAGGTGATGCCCCAAAAGAGTTGCAGAGAATCCTGGGCAACGGCCAATCTCTGTTCTGGAGTTCCTGTACGAACCCTCCCCCTGGCTGTTAGGTAGCGAATTCCCCCAGTCAGTAGATCCTATCTCCCTAACATGGTTCGTGTAGTTGGTCGTGAAAGTGTACGGGCAGCAGTACCATCTTTGCCAGGGTTCGCGAGCGTGTGTAGCAGAAATGAGTACCACCGATCGACGACCAAGTACTGCTGCCCATGTCTGGGAGATAAAAAGGCCGCCATGTACTGGACCACGTGCATTCGGTTATACAAATGACGGCCACCCAGGGAAAGCACTCAAGTTAATTTTTTCTGCGGTTAACAGCCAGGGTTGGTGTTCTGAGTCAATTAAAGAGAAGGACCACACAAATTCTGTTTGGTCCACAAACAGGGGAATACGGGTTGTGCAGGTAAATGTAATATGAGTTCAGGCAACCTCAGGGACTTATACTAGGTCCGCCACAGTATAGAACATAGTAAATTTACCATGGAGAATGCCCTTGTTTTATTGTATTTAATTTTTTGGGGGTTGTTTGCTGTAGAGAAAGGAGGTTAGGTTGCAAGCGTGGGACAGGTGTTGTTTAGCGGGGGTGACACTGATAGGCTAGAGGCAGAGAGCTGGCACTGAGATGCTAGGGGGTAAAGGTGTCATGACAGGGGACATGGCAGGTGCAAAGAGCTACTCATTCTCTGCCTAGACTACTTGTTCCAATAACAATTGTGGTGGTCACGAAGTGCCGTAAGATATCACAAACGTAAAATAAACAAAATAAAAACATTTAATTTTTGGTGGTAGTGTCCCTTTAAGACTCGGTCACATTAAAGACGTGCTAAGTAAGGATAGCTAAGGTATGTCATTACTGTGGTTTCCAGGATGATCAGTCAGCCTCGGGGCCCCTCAGGCTGTTCTGCTGGGCTGCCTTATGAGATAGATTAGCAATAGTCTAGCACACACAAATCAAGGCGTGTTTCATCCACAGAGCCTGTCTGCATCCCTGAAGCATGGGCGGACAGGCATGTGGAGTGCTGTGACAGCATGACACTGTGATTCATGCTGGGGGCAGGCTCTGCAAAACTACTGCTGGATGTCCATGTGCTTGAGACATCATGAAATAGCCTGGTGCATGCTGCGAGTTGTGAGGAGTGTGGCAGCCATGGGCGGAGGGGACGGGCTGAAGAGATGCCTCCTGCCATAGTTCATCTGTTCTCCTGGATGAGGTTATCACAGTGCCCCTAACATGGGAAGAAGAGTCTTCAGAAGTCAATTGATATGGGCAAAATGAGACAACGAAGAACTGATTTTCTATAACGATGAGATTTTGATGTAAGATGCTGAGACATTCGTAGATCATTCAATAACTGGTTACAGGCATTTGCATATATGCTTTTGTTATGAGTGAGAATCCACACAAAAAAATTTGTGGTCTTTTTTAACTTGTGAAGATTGTATTAGAGGTGTATACATTTTGGGGGATTAGAATAGTTCACCTACTATGAACTGTTTAGGCAAATGTTTATGGTCCATTCTAAGTTAGTAATGAAAGGCATGGTTAAATCTTATTTTGTCATGAAAGGTCTTAGTACTAATAAGATGTCTGTTAATGATACATTGCTTAAAATCACTGTATATGACCTAATATATGTAAATTTAAACATTAGAGTTTACATTCAACTGGGTCACATCCTGGATTTTGTTGCTTTGCGATATTGCCAGCAGTGCCTGAACAGTTCAAATATCCATTTTCCAAAAGGCAGTATGACAGTAAACATTTCATAAGGCCCAGACTGGCCATCGGGCAAAAAGGGCAAATGCTGGGCTGGGGCCGACCGGAGAAATCACGTAATCTCCCTGCCGGAGCCTCTAGAACTTTGCGCAAGGAGATGGTTCTCCACGGGAGATCACTGGCCAGACCTCTATTCCACCATGGAGCAGGGTTGGTGCAAGGATTTTTAGGTACACAGGCGAAGATATTTTGGCGTGCCTCTTAACCCACCTTTTTTTTATCCCCCTTTAGTGTATCTTATCCCCTATTTTCTCTATTGTATGTCTTACACTTCCCTTGTGTATCTCTTGAAACCCCTCTTTGTGTGTCTTACTCCCCCCCAGCCCCTTTGTGTATTTTACTCTTTCCAACTCCTTTGTGTGTTTCTCCTTCAGTCCCAGCACGTCTATCTCCCCCATCCCCTCTGTGTCACTATATCCTTTTCTCCAGACCCTCTATGTCCCTTCCCTCCCCTGTACCTTAGTGCCCCTCCCCTTAATGTTCCACTCTCTCCCCCCTAGTGTTCCTCTCCCCTCCCTCTCTTTTAGTGATCGCCCCCCCCAGGTCCGCTCCCCTCCTTCCCCCCCTTAGTATTCCTCTCCCTCCCTGCTGTGTTTCCTACCTTTCTTGTAGCATGGTCGAGCAGAGCGCGTTACATGAACTTCAGTTTTCTGTACTCTGCCAGACAGGGGCGGACTGACCACTCGGGCACTTCGGTCATGGACCGAGGGCCCGAGGCAGTCAGGGGCCCGGCAGCACAGCCTTGTTCCAGCTGGAGAGATCAGAGATCTCTCCAACTGGAACAGCAAAAAATAATAAAATAAAACTTTTTAATTGATAGGTTGTGGGGCCCCTGATGCAGCGCGGGGCCCCACAACCTACCGCTCTGCACATCCCCCCCCCCATGAGACCTGGCAGCTTCACCTCCTCCCTGCCAGGTCTCCTGCTTCCTCTCCCATGCGGCTCTGTGTGATGGGAGAGGCGGGGCCAGGAAGTGACATCACTTCCTGTTTACTCCTCTCACACAGAGCCCAGCATGGAGAAGGAGCAGCAGCCGGGGAGAGAAGAGGGAGCAGAGATGCAGGTAGGCACCAACCACCACCCCTCACTATCACCAGTCACCCCCCTCACTATCACCACTGTCACCAGTCACCCTCACTGTCACCAGTCACCCTCTCCCTCACTCTGTCACC